CCCCCCCGCCCAATTTACGTCATTTTTCGGGGATGATAGCGTTAATTTTTTTTAAAATTAGCCACAACTGCGCGGTTCAGTGCATTACAAATACTTCCTTTGCCTTGAAGTAGATAATTCTGCATCTTCTGGAGAGCGGTTTCTAATAGAAGGAATCCTCTTGCTTTTTTTAACCGATTAAGGTAAGCTCCCGCAGTGTAAGCACGTTTTTGCGACTGGGCTTTGACCGCTCCTAGAGCTTGAGGAATCGCCAGAAGGAGAGCATGCATGGCAGCGGATGAGTTCATTCGGCATGGATACCCAGCTGGTTGCTCAAAGTAAAATTCCCCAGCTTGGGACCAACTGCTGTCTGGATAATCTCTAAGTGCTTATGAACCCGCCTAAAATGGTGCCCCTGCTCAGCTTTCTTGCTCGACGCATAAGCTTTTTATTCAAATTTTAACAAATTTTACCCAAATTGACCTTCCCTTCCTCCCTCCCTCCCCTTCACCCATTTAGCTTGTATGCTTAAATTTCACTTAGATTGAATCCGTTCCCACCCACCCGATTATCCACTCGCTGAATTGTTTTTTCAAAAAAGGTATTTTTTGAAAAAACAATTCAGCAAGGGGATAATCGCTGATAAATTAAATTGAATCTTACTGTTTACTTGTCTCAAAAAGCTGTTTCATCATCGCAATTATCGATATGTCCTATAAGCAAGGAAATGCCAAAGAGAATAAGCCATGCGGATTAACGTCTTAAAGCAACATTTTCACTCCGAACTGATACTTCAGATCACTGCTGGGGGATTTACAACGATTAAACTAAAACAGTTTATATTTTGCCAATGTGCTTATCACATACTGTAAAGCTGAAAGCGAATAATCAGAGAATCTAAAAAAAAAAAAAAAAAAAAAACACGGAAAAGCAAGCTGCTGAAAAACGAACCTAGCGTGCCAGCCTTCTCGCATGGCCAAAATTCCAGCCTTCTAGCTTTCTTCGTTACCACTTGGCAACTGGCCAGCAAAACCTTTCACGTGCCTGTACGTGGGAACCGCCCTCATCTGGGAGCTGATTTTGAAATCACTTGATTGTACATGGATGGGAAACGTCCAGTTGTCCCACTCAATTTCCCCAAAAATACAAATACCTTTTATTTTACCCGAAATATCCCCGTCTCTTCGCTCATGTTTGTCCGGTCTTTTCCTAACTTCGGGATGTTCATCTACCTTTGTAGAATTTAATGCCCAAAGCAGTAGCAATTTTGGAAGCGCCATCAGTAAATCATCACCAATTTATAAAGTTGCTGCTGACTGTGACTGTGATTGCCAAACTGTGATTATCAGTACGACGGGGGTTTTTTTAGGTTTGTTTTTCCAACGAAACGATGTTCGTCTCGGTTCAGTTCACTTGCAATGGGTTGCCGCAAATTCGTAGCTCAAAAACATCATCGGGATTACAGGTTGGTTTTAGAACTGAAAAATAATGCACAGACCATTTAGACTGTGCGACCATGAATTTTGCGCGGTTTACGCAGAAGGCTACTTCTCAATTTTCAGGGCCGCACTCAGACAAATATTATCCTCCTAAAATTTCAGTTATTTCATCTGCTTTCCAAATAACTAATTTCAGTCCGAACTTCTACGTGCCCGTACGTGAGATCTAGGTGTACATGCGGCTAATTTTAGCTGACTAGGCCAGTCATGGATAGGAAAAATCCTCTTAAATATTCAGCATTCAGATTCTTTGATTTGAAAAAACAAGACAGTTATCGGAGCACAAACAAGCAAACTCGATAAAATATAGGTTTCGCACTGCTTCGCATAATAACAAATGAGAGATTCAGCCATGGCTTTTGAGGTTAATTTTATAATACCAAAACTGATCGAAGATAGCCTTCTAAATGTAGCTTCTGATATGAGAATCGAAGAATCGCTCACCCTCAGCTTCACCCAAGCATAAGCTTCATAAAAGGGGAAATCCCCTACTGACGAAGGGTTTTTATAAGACAATTTCCATTTAAAGCAGGTGTAATCAGCAGATAAGCAAGTACGGTAATTTGACAAAGAGTAAAATGCCTCAAAACTGTAAGTTGAAGATAGTGCGTGATTCCAGGATATCTGTTGTTGGTGTCTATAACTAATTAAGTAGTCACAAAAGTAGTTGCCCACAGGAAATGCTGCATGACGAAACGATCTTCGACAATTCATCTACTTATGCCTCCCTTGAATATTCACTTATAATTTAGGCGCGAACACTGGCGGACCACTTTAAGTCGCTTCGAAAGACGAAATTAGCAAATCTGTATGGTTCCGACAGTGAACACAGATTCTGCCCATTCGTACAGGTGAGAGCTTCTGGAGTTCACTGCTACCAGAGATGGTGCTGCGCAAAACAAGTACTGGCAACTTCTACAATTTAAAGAGGGCAAAATTCTTGGATTCTAAAATTCTTGAATTCTTGGACTTTAAAATCCTAAAATTTCAGTCACCTTACCTGCTTCCCAAACTAACGAATCTCAGTTTGAGCTTTTACGTGCCCATACAAGGGATCTAGGTGTAATGGGAGATAATTTTTAACTGACTGGGGTGATTTTAATTTTAACTGACTGGGTAGAAAAAACCCTCATAAAGTTTCGGTCTCTTGGCTTCTCTGACTCAAAAAAATGAGACAGATATAAAATCGATAAAATATACTGCTGCATAAAAACATATGAGAGACTCGGCTTCGGCTTACAAGGTTAGCTTTATAATATCGAAACTGATCGGAAACGCGAACTTTTAGTCAGTATTTGCCGGTGCTCAAAGATGATTTATGAAAACCAGTCTGGGAATGTGAAATTCGATAGCTCAGAAAATCCAGGTCATTATGTCAAGCATTCTGGAAAAAAGCCAAGAGTTACTTTAGCGCGTTATATGCGATTTGTGCTTCTCTCCTCCGATGCAAATCTCGCGCCCCTATTTACCTGGACTTTACTTACTTTTTCAACAACCTTATAAGATATGCCTCTTATATGGCCTACACCTACGGTTTTGACATCACTTTCCACTAACATTTGATGTTACTGTTACAATTTTACAGCCACATCGGAAATCTTTGATATAGCGTTATGGTGTTTTTTAAAGCTAACGATGGTTGTATTTACAGGAAGTGATGTATGATCAAATGGGAGCAATACCGGATAATGCAAAAATTGTCCCCTGTAATAACAATTACGAGGTTTATATATAAAGTAAATGAGAAAGAGCGTCATTATGTGAAGATTCGAAACTGAACAAATATATGGCTTAATTACATGTGCGTCACATATTTCTGCTCTAAAAAACACAAAAAATACATTGATTTTCGGGGAACTTAATCCGAAACATAAAACAAAATACATCGGTTTTTGGGGAAGTTTAACGCGAGGCGTACATCACTAGTGGCTTAGTAGAGGTAAATACTTGCTACTGTGAGATGCCAGTGCTGCAAGATCCCGGGTCTAAAGCTAAAACTAAAGTAAACTAAAGCCTAAAGTAACTCTAAACTAAGTACTGAAAAATTTTAGAATGCTACAAAAAATGCTAATGAAAATAATCAAACTGACAGCGTTAGAAGGTTGGAGGAAGACCGGGTAAAGACGTACAATACGACTGCATGTGTAAAACAACTCTAAGTAGCAGTGTGTTACAACTCTATTCCTAGTTTTTGCATAGTTTCAGAGTGGGAAGGCTCTCCACCCGCCTCCCACCCCGTCGCCCCTTTCCAAGGAATCCATCCTGAGTCCATCTATGCTTACTTGCATGGGTAGATAAAAGAGTAGTATCTGTCGTAGCCATAAACGGTAAGTGCGACGACTGTTAGCACCAGAAGGTGTGCTAATTCGTAAAGAAATTTTGGCGCAAAAACGCTCCAAACAAACAAATGATAACGCTGAATGAAAATGGACAATAAGCAAGCGGACATGCTTGAATGTGCCACCGCACATGCCCATCCGAGAAGCGAGCCAGCTTTCTGCAAGAATACCGTGAAATCGGTTGAAAACCTCACTGAAGCCTGCCACCAAGCAAAAATTATCAGCATCGGTCCCGAGTAGGTGTTAAGCAATATTTGCACAGCGATTAGAATTGGCTGATAAGTTTTCACGCTGACGTATCCCACCGAAACATCGATTGTCGAAAGACTATTCGAGTTGCCCTGCAAAAGGAATTGCTTGGGAAGCGAAGGTACTTCACAGCAAATCTCTACAAGTTACTCAAGAACGATTTTTTCAAAACATATGATTTCAAATTTTCGAAAATAGATTTTTTATCGTATAAAAATTATGTGACTGTCATCAACTGCCATTTCAAACTTCTAAATTAGATATCTTTTAGTCGTATAATCACATGAAAGTGTCATTAACTGGGCTTCCAGTAGAGGCATTACTGAAGTCGGGAAGGACTGATTCAAGCAAAACAGCGAGCAAATTTAAGCCAGAAAGCCAGACAAAATTAGCCAAAATTACACCCATCGTCTAGTATGAGCGATGCCCGCCTAAATTCTCAGCGGTATTCAGGTCTGGTAAAAAAAAAAAAATTGAATAAAAACATGATATATTCAGGAAGTAAGAAGATTTTCGAAGAGCCATCGTGATCTGCTTTCATTGCATCATTGTTCAACTTTGCGCGATACGCGCGGTTGGGAATCTTTTAATCCATGATTTCTCTACATGAAGCTAGGCCTCCTATTTCTAGCCCCGCTAATTAGCACATTCCATTCACCTTTTTTTCTCCTAAAAAAAGCAGCTGCAAAGAAAAAAAAAAAAAGATGCAGAAAAAAGAAAAAATAGCCCTCACCGAGTAAAACAAAGACGAATAAGCGGCAAGAACGAGCATCAAAGGATGCGCGTCAATTTGCCGCAAACAGTGGCCGATGAGCAACTGCAAGGCAGCAAGTGGCAGGTTGTACGTTCGCATAATGAATACTGCCCATACAACCGGGATGAGGAATGGACTTCGGGTGAGCACCGATAGCGATAAACT